GTAAGTCCAGGCACAAACACACGCGGCATTTATGTCTATGGTGGAATGTTCAGCAGTTACCGCGGCGACGCAATGCAGACATTCACAAACACTGTAAAAAAAAGTTGTAAGATGGTCTGAAAACTCAAGAAAAAATACCAAATTGATTTAAACAGCACATTTTCTGGAACCTGTGAATAAATCCTCCCAGGGAATGTTGATGAGCTGCGTACCTTAACAGTATGAATGGATGTAGTATTTGTATTTTTATGTATTTAGTTTTTTGAGAAATCTGGCGTATTCTACTCTATATGCTCTTAGGCTGCGTTCAGACTGCAGCCTGAAGTGACCCAAATCTGAGTTTTTGGCCCCTATGTTCCTGTATCTGATCTTTTAATGACAGTCTGAACGACACAGATCCGATTTTTTCAAATGTGACCCAGGACACTTGGGCTGCGTTCAGACTGCAGGGCTTAACGCTCAATTCCGATTTTTTTGTGAAATCCGATGTTTTTGCGAGGTCGTTCACATTTACAATTAAATGCGACTTGTCTGTGACTCCAGTGTGAATGTTAAACGGCCCGAAACTGTCCCACGTGCGTACTGGAGACACGATGATGTCAACCCCATGCGTCAACCGCAGCGAGCGTCTCTGTGTTTACGGAAGTTGTCCAAACATGGACGCAGCATCGAGCACCTGGAGATTTTACAGTTCCGGTTTCCGCCTGCTTTAGCTCAGAATAGTGACGTTTGTGGCTTGTTGATAACGTGTAGGTGGATGAATGCACTTTGTCTGTTCAGACTGAAGTCGCATGTCAAAAGATCAGATATGTATCGGTTTTAGGAGCACATATCCAAGTGTCCTGGGTCACATTTGAAAAAATCGGATCTGTGCCATTCAGACTGACATTAAAAGATCAGATACAGGAACATAGGGGCCAAAAAATCAGATTTGGGTCACTTCAGGCTGCAGTCTGAACGCAGCCTTGGATATGTGCTCCTAAAACCGATACATATCTGATCTTTTGTCATGTGACTTCAGTCTGAACGGCCAAAGCGCATCCATCCGACCTACACGTCATTAACAAGACACAAACGTACATGTGCGCACAGTACAGCGTTTTTTTAATGAACTCTGTGTCACTGAAGTGAAGCACATCACCACTCACCACTCTTGGCTCCGTCTCCACATCCACACGTTCCTTTCAACAGACGTCGCTGCCGCTGTCCCACCAACGACTCTTTCTCAATCTGGCCTCCTAAAACAAGGTAAGTTTTGAGTTCTGGCCCCTACGAGAGGAACTTTAAAAAGCTGCGTCCATGTTTGGACAACTTCCTGTAAACACAGAGACGCTCGCTGCGGTTGACGTTGTCGTGTCTCCAGTGTCACATCGAAACACTTTGCCGTTAACGTTCACACTGGAGTCACATACAAGTCACATTTAATTGGAAATGTTGAACGACCTCGCAAAAAGATTTTCAGTTTGGAATTGAGCGTTAATTCCTGCAGTCTCAGTCTTAGACTGCTTCTTCAGACTCAGATCGTTCTAAAGCATTAAAAACAGACCAAGACAGCGACAAAACAATAACCATTTATGTTTATGCACACCAGTGTCTCCACATGTTGCACTGAGATCTTATCACACTGAATCTCAAATTTGTGAGTGACGTTATTATTTCATTGTCCGATTTGTTCAGCCTGTAAATAAAACTGTACATTAAAGTTCTTAAAGTGTTCACTCGTGCAGTAACAAACATTTCTGTCGCACTCGTCCACCGTGGCCTCCTCAAAAGCACCGAAAAGCGTCATTGTAGGCACCTGTAGTCTTTGCAAACTCGCTTTTTTGTAATTAATCCAGAGGTGGGCTGTGTACAACGAACTACAACATGATTTAAACAATAACGACTTATACGGATGTAACGATATCCAAATCTCTGTACGATATTTATTGCGATATTTTGGAGAGGCTGATATAATTGTAGACGGGACACTTTTTTTGCTTTTAAAATACCCTGACAAGATTTTGGTGTGAATTATTTCCGTCATAATCCCAAGAATTCAAGTAAAAAACCTATTACTTACATGTTGTCTGCACTGAAATGAATCATGGGAAATGTAGTTCACGATGTTTATGAGCTGTTGCTGCTATAAAACCATGGATTTAAGCAAAGGAACTTGTGATTTGATTTTTATTTGATTTTTTTATACTTTTGTCAGTCCTAGTATACCCAGTATTTGTGTGTGTGTGTGTGTGTGTGTGTGTGTGTGTGTGTGTGTGTGTGTGTGTGTGTGTGTGTGTGTGTGTGTGTGTGTGTGTGTGTGTAGCAGTGAGAGTGAGGGCCACTTAGAGACGTTAAAGTTTGGCGGTGGGGTTCAGGGTCAAGGGTCAGAGCGCTCGATAAAAGTGAAAAATGCCGCAAATGACCCCCCCTCCCCTCCTCCCTTCTCTCTTTCTTTTCTCCTCTTTCCCTCTGCCTCTCTCTCTCTCTCTCTCTTCTCGTCCCCTCTCCCTGCCCTCTCTTCTCTCTTTCTCCTCTGTCTTTTTCTTCTACCTCGTGTTTCCCTCTCCCTCTCTTCTCTCCCATTTTCCCCATCTCTCCCTCTCTCTCGCTCTTTCCCTCCTTTCTCCCCTCCGTCTCCCTCTCTTTCCTCTCCTCCCTTCCTCTCTCCTCTCCTCTCTCTCCTCCCCCTCTCCCCTTCCGCTCCCTCTCTTCTTTCTCTCCTCTCTCTGCTCTCTCCCTTTTCTCTCCTCTCCTCTGTCTCCTCATCCTCTCCTCGCTCCCTCTCTTCTCTCTCCTCTCTCTCCCCCTTTTCTCTCCTCACCCTCTCCTCTCTCCCTCTCTTCTCTCTCCCTCTCTCCTCTCCTCTCTTCCCCCCTCCCCTCTCCTCTGTCTTTCTCTTCTCCCTCTTCTCTCCTCTCTCCCTCTCTCTTCTCTTTCTCTCTCCTCTCCCCTTCCCTCTCCTCTCTCTTTCTCTCCTCCCTCTTCTCTCCTCTCTCTTTCTCTCCCTCCCCATCCTCTCTTTCTCTCTCCTCTCCCCTCTGCTCTCTTTCTCTCCTCTCTCCCTCCCCCATCCTCCCTTTCTCTCTGCTCTCCCTCTCTTTCTCTCTTCTCTCTCCACTCCTCTCCCCTTTCCTCTCTCTGTCTCGCTCCTCCCCTCTTCTCTCCCTCTCTCTCTCTGTGCCCCCCTCTCTCTCCTCTCTCCTTTCTCCTCCTCCCCCTCTCTTTCTTCCCCTCTCTCTCCCTCCCCCTCTCCTCTTCTCTTTCTCTTCCCTCCCTACCTCTCTCTCCTCTTCCCCTCCTCTCTCTCCCTCTCTCTTCTCCCTCCCTCTCTCTCTCTCGTGTGTTCCTGAACATGTGTCTTTAGCCGTGATCAAAGTCTCTTTCTGTTTCTGTTTCTGTTCTTTCCCGTCGTCGTCGTCGTCGTGTTGATTCTCTCAGCTCCGGCGTCCTGAGCGTTTTTTTCTCCGAGCCGCTACAAACGACCTCAAATTTACGACTAATTGTGATTGTGTTAATGAGACGCAGAGTCTGAGCCGCAGACGAGGGGTTTTCACACGCGGACTTTCTCAGGTGGAACGTGTGAAGCCGTTTTAATGTTCACTTTCTTAACACTGGACAGTATTTATTTTTTTATTAATATTTTATTTATAATAGAGGTTGTCTGCTGTTTTGCTTTTTCTAGTAAAAAAAAAATAAAAATAAAAATACATTGTAAAAAGCAGCACTTTTTCTCAGTCGTTATGTTGCTACCAAGGCTGGGTAAAAAAATTTAATCTTGATATTTTTTTGCACACACTGGAAGATTCTGATTTTAAACAAAATCGGAGCAGGAACTGGCAGTTTTTCACGCGGTGGAAGATCTTTCTGATTTCATTCTTATTATACTTTTTTTGATATTTAAGAAATTGTACACTACGCCATTATACATTTGTACAGATATCTAAATGTAATTGCGAGTAAAAAATGTCAGGGGTAAACTCATAATATCATGATAATCCTTGACTTCACCATTTCGCAGTTTTTCAAAATCTCGATGATTAAAAACTTGGATTCAGCGTATTCATTTGATTTGAACAAAATTATGGAACTCTGGAATCCAGTCTGCAGAGAGAAACTTCTTCATTCTGAGTCTAAATGAGTCCAATGGTAAGAGTAGTAAACAGCAGAACAAAAAACACTGTGCTCACTTTCACTTTCACTTTCACTTTCCCTCGCCACATTCCAAAATCTCATCTTTTCTTTGATGGATTTATGAGGACAAAAGTGTGTGTTTGTGTCGGTGTGTGTGTGTGTTTGCGTCGGCGTGTTCCTCCTGAACTCTGTGAGCGGCGGCCATGTTGAGGACCAGACAAGAAGAGACTCTGCACCACCACAATGTGATGCTCCATTTCTCCAGACCACACACACACACACACACACACACATACACACACACACACAACCCCAAGATACACACACTAACATACAGACACACAGAGAGACATCCCACAACCTCAAAATATATGCATACTTACACAAACATGAAAACACACACAAACACACACAAAGCATACATACACACACACAAACATACAGACACACACACACACAAACACACACACACGTCCCCACAACCTTCATACATGCATACTTGCACACAAATATAGACACACACAAACACAAACGTACAGATACACGCACACACAAACATACACGCGCGCACATACTGACACACACAAGCATACAGACATACACACACACATTACACACAAACATACACTCACACACACACACTCTCACAACCCCCATACATGCATGCATACACACACAAATATATGCAAACGCACAACTCCCATTCATGCGTTACACACACACACACACACATACAGACACACACACACACAGACAAACACAAACATATGCTCACGTCCCCACAACCTTCATACATGCACACAAATATAGACAGACACACAAACATGTAGACACACACGCACACAAACATACAGACATACACACATACATACAAACATACAGACACG